GAAAAAGAGATGCATTGATTAATTCTTTCTTTAACATTCCCATTATTTAACTTCCGTTTGAAACTAAAATGGGAGAAAAATATAAATGAAAGAAAAAAAGAAATCTATAAACCCTTTGTTTCCCCTTAAAGATACATCTCTTTCAAATCTTTCACATGCCACGTTTAAAGCAGGTTGCAAGCATCAAATCATGTTAAGCTCAACTTACCCTAATGCAAAATGAAAGATACAGCCTGAAGTAATGCATTACAATGTGACTTGTCACATGTGGGAATTTTTAAAAGAAAGCAATTTGCTGATAAAGAAGACACAATTAAACAATGGCTGGTTTGAATAAAAATGCAATATTTTCATGATGTGTCTCAGTTTGGGATTATAAGAGACATTTTGGTCTGAGAACAGGATCAGTTTCCTGTCTGCTGGGAAATGACTAAGGTACGAAAAGAAGCCTTTGCAGAGCAGCTGTCCTTGGCAAAGGCAGTGGTTTGAGGCAGGCATTGCCCTTGAAGGAATACTTCCACCACTGCAGTGGTCAGCACTAGAAGGACAATGTTTGGGAAGGGTGTATGTAAGTACACCATATACCTCTGCCACTTGTGGTCATCAGACATCTTGAGGCTCTTTATTCGAGTCGCAGCGCTGTGCCGTAAGTCATGTCAAACAGGGCTTGTTCTTGTAATGATTTTGGTTATCTGCAGTTATTTTCCTTGCAGGCTGTTCTTGCCTTGCCTGTTGCAGGCACTTCTCTGTGACCACAGCAGGGGGTAGGACCTCGGGAGCCTCACAAAAACACACACATGGTCAGCTGCATGTGGTGTGAGCTCCTTTTAGCATGGTTTTCATCCCTCACTCATTCTGTTACTTTTCAAAAATCCCCTTCTTTGAAGGAAGATGCTACTTGTTTCCCAGTTGCATACAGCAGTAGGTCTCACCAAGCTAAGGCTGGTCACACAAAAAGATGTTAGTGACCATGGAAGTTTAAGCTTGTTGGAGTAATAAAACTTTACATGTTGCTCTTCCTGACAGTGCCAGCTGGTGACTCCAGCCTGAGCTGCTGTCACTTGCACCTAGAGAAAATAAAGAAATCATGGAGTAGAGCGGAGTGGGGTGTGCAGCTGCAGAAATGCCATGCCATTTAATACAGGAGTTTAATACAAACTGTTGAGATAACCCAGTACAAGGGAAACACAAGCTGTACAAAAGGAGAAGAAAGGGAAAAGAGGACTGCATGGGAATGGAAGAGTAGCAGAAGTAGTGCTTATAAGCAGGAAAAGGGATAGGGAGGACAAGAGTTCAAGCAGCAAGTACAAACATTAAACATTAAAATGAAGGGTAAAATCCTGTTTACTTCACCAGATGATAATGGCAATGAGAAAATGATTCACAGCCTGGTTTTTCTAGAAGCCCCAGAAAGGCTCTCTTCATGCAAGGAGCAAGGGTCTCACATCACCTCTCTGAGGCAGCAAGGTCTCATGTCCAGGCATTGTGAGATTGTGTTCCCAAAACCACTGCAAAATACTAGGAAGCTGTTTAAACTGGAAGGATTCCTCTTCTGCATTCTGAATTTAAGAAATCACAATGGAAAATAAAAGCATGTTTTTTAGCAAAGCAAACCAACGTCTTTTTGTAAAAAACCCACTAAACCATCACACATCTAGAAAGTCCTAACATGATTGACAGGGTACTTAAGAGAAGACAAGCTGGGAATAGAAAAGGTTAGACTTCAAGGGCAATTTAACAAGCAGCAGAAAGACATTTGCATATGTACTGTTTGAAACAAGAGCACAGAAGTGGAAGACAAGGATCAGCAAGTCCAGCCATGGTCACTGGCAAGCATGTCACAACATTTAGTCTCTTCTCTTTACAGCCCACAAAATGCTTCCGTGTGCCCTATTATCAGCTAATGGGCTGCAATGAGAGAGAACACGTCACAAGCACATCAGAGGATGAGAGCAGAAGATGGATTAAAATCATGACTAGTCTTGCAACTTGCCATAGCTGTTCAAACCTGCTGTTCTTAAGGCACAAGCTTCACTTGCACTGGACATTGAGATATTTGTCTCTCAGCCTCAGTCCTCTCCTTGCCTTTGTGCCTGCATAAAAGGAGAGAGAATCAGCTGTCATTTCAATGCTAAAGTCCTTGACATGGAAATCAGATGGAAAGAGTCACGTGTTTTTCTCCAAAGGTTATGGCCTCAAGCCCTAATTTCATGGTGATGGCCAGGGGATAGAGAAAGCATATATGCGCTTATGTTCCAGTAACAGATTTTTTTTATTCTTAAAAACATGTGATGTGTGCCTAAAATTCATCTCTTATGTAAAACTGCATCACTTTAATGATATATTTTCAGAGATGAATTTGTGTCTACTCATTGAAATCAAATGCGCACTTTTAAATAAAAAATAAGAACTGGTAAATAAAAAACATGTGGTAGATGATTAAGCTCCACATATTGAGCTTTTATTAGGAATAGCTGATATAATTCTAAGAGAAATCTTCCATGTAAGCATTATTCATTTATATATGGTTCCTGACCAAGAGTGGTAAAGAAACATAGAGAAACACCAAAGCTACTGTGAGACTTCAACTGTGGGCTTGAAGCAGCTTGTGCTGCTTCTTCATTTATTCCTCCTCTTTGGACTGTGATGTGATTGCAATTATCAGGAAAAAAAATAAAAATACAGTCAATTCCCTCCATGTTTTTATACTTGGTATTTTTTAATTAGACATCTCTACTGTCTTTGTGTAAGTGGTAGGGAAAGGGGAGGAAAGATTCCAGAGCATCCGATTTTCATCAGAAGATCCCTGGGAAGATTTGGCCACCTCTGACCTGCCACATGCTGAAGGCACTTCATCTGTGGGATGTGCCAACTTGAGAAGTAAAGTTATTCCCAGTTAGAAGTGATTGTAAGTATGACAGCTTGCACACAAGGGGTACTCTCCCAATAAAAAACACTACCACAGTTTGGTTCCATCAAAAGCACAAAAAAATAAAATTTTCAGCTGACAAGCAAACTCAGCAAGAGACCCAAGAGAAACTTTGTTATTCCTCTAATGTGGAGAAAGACCCTGGACTACACCCAAAGGTGTGTTAAACTGCCAACACACTCAGTATGTCTGTGTTAATTTGTACATCCTTACCTTAAAGCACACTCTTGCTATCCCTAATTATGAAAATCATATATCTGTATAAACACGACTTATGTTATTAATGTTCTGCACACCATCAGAAAGTGGGATGCATTAGCCCTGGTGAAATGCAAGAGAGCTGATGATCCAGGTCTCTGCTGGATGTGCACCACTTCAGTGAAAGGCTTTGTGTGCCTGTGCTGTGGGTGAGTGAGTTTGAGAGAAGTCCAAGGCAACAGCATCACAAGGATTTTTACAGTCCCAGACCCCCAGAAATGCCTGTCAGCAAGGACTGATGCCCTGTGTGCCCTTCCTCTCCCCCCTAGACAAGGGCATGAGGGATAAGAATGTGCTGTGGTTGCCTCTCCTGAGCTGCAGTCACTCAGATCACAAAGATGCATCACAAAGATGCACCGGTGACACCACTGATGAAGCCCTGAGGATGCAAAAGTCCACATGGAATATACAAAAGCTGAAGCAAGCATCACCCTGCTGCACTAGGGTGGAACCTTCTTTGGAAACACTTCTGGGAGTGATGTCTTACTTTTATCAAAACGGGATACAACTTCATTTCAGTAGGGCAGTCTAAGCCATGGCAAAAGAAATGTTTTATACAATTTTTCCCCATTGGCTTTGTCTGGCAATGTTATCCCAAGCTAACAGCTTCAACTGTATTGCATTTTCTCAAATGGGAGCCTGAAAGGCTTTTAGGTGTGCATGTTCTTGATTATTTTTATTCTTAGGCTTCTATCCTCAAAAGCCTTATTTAAGACAATAGTGACATTAATTATAACAGGACTGCCTTACTTGCATGATTGAAAACTACTCAGAGCTCTATCAGATTGTGCCCAAAATCCAAAGCAGAGAAGATTGTGTAAGCAAAGAGTTTGTGGACTTTAATACTTTCCTCACTTTTAACCAACTAAATCACACCATAAATAAAATAGACTAACAGGAAAATTAAACAGCCTGAGTGTAGCAAGGGGGAATATTTCAATAACAAATATTGCTACCCATATACCTCAACAGAATGTGCTAAAGTAAACAAAATGATAGCATAATTATAGTCATTCCAGTTATGTTAATTAGGCTATATACACGCTTCATTGATAAGCAACTGTGGTGCAAAGAAGTGCTGTAAGCCTGATATTTCCTTGGTTAGCAGCTTTGTTGTGCATATGCTGCTGTTATGATCTTAGTTGCATTAATGCAGAGTAAGAGAAACCCATGAGAATAATAATAATAGTATGTGTCAGGGCAGGCTTAGCACAAGGCTCAAGTTGAACAGCCCAGTGTGATGTTTCTCTCACCCTGAATTCAGGTTCCCAGAGAAGGTGGCTATCAAGGCTTCCCAAGGCAACATCCCAATAAATGCAAATACACAGCAAAAACATCGCAGTTAGTTGTGCTCCACAGAGGGAGCCTTTACACCTGTGTTTTGCTGACTCTGTAGCTATAATTTCTCAACACTTTGCAAGGTGTTTTGGATTGCAGCTGCTCAGAATTTAACATCACATCTTTTTTTTACTGAAGTATCACTTTTTTTTTTGTGTGTAAGGATGGTTGTTGTTATTTTGTTGTTTTTTTTCAAAGTGTAATTATTTCACAAAAACTGTCAATTTCTTGAAATACTAATTTTTGTATGGAAAAAAAGTCTTTTAATGGGAAGTAATATGGCTTTGCTCATTTATGAAATTTTTTTATGGAGAATTTAAAATTTTAAAAAAATTGAAAAATCTCAGAAACTCAACAGAGAGGAAAACACTGCATAAAACAATTTAAAAATAGGATCAACAATTTTGACACAATGTTTTATAGCAGATAAAGGGCTCATTTTTTAAAACAAAGAAAGAAATATTTAAGCATTTGCATCTTGAAATACACTTGTTTATCAGTTTCAATCTTAAACATGACCTTTGACACTAAGTCATTCTTTCTATTTATTCAATATTTCTAATTTTGAATGCTTCTGATTGTTGGAAGAAAACCATCAACTTTGGTATTTTTACTAGTTTCCCTGTGCCATTAAACTTTTGTTACTGCTTGTTTGGGCTGCTACTAATGTAGCTCGGTTACATCTCTGCCACTTGGTGGAAAGATCCCTGAAATAGCCCCATCCACACTGTGCCAATATTCTGGCATCCCCAAAATGCTGTCAATAATTTTGACAACATGTTGCAGTGCTGAGCAGTGGAGATACTCCTGCTTGCTCAGAGCTGGTCTCAAGTCCTTCTCCCACAGTTCTGCTTTGCACTGTCCGGGCACAACTTTAGTGGAAAATGAGGCCTGAAATTAGAAATAGAAATATCAGTGAAATAAATAAGATCAATGCAGGATCACATTGGAATACAAGCACTTCAGTGAGGCTGGAGAAATCAAAATACTCATTTGGAGCTGCAGTTTGAGCAAGCAAGGTTATATTTTTACTTACATTAGGCATCTTCTCTCTCTCTGTTCTGGTAGGAGTCATGGCTTCTACATCTTGGCCTCTCGACTACTTTGGAGAGGATACTGCTGCTTGCTCATTTCTAGTCTCACTTACCACTAACATTCAAAAACACATCTCAAACTTTTAAAAATTTATGAGACTAGTTAAAAAAATTAAAAATACACATACAAAGTTATTATTCATGGTCCAGTTTTATTTTCTTCAGCTGCTGATGTGGCTATTACATTTCAGGGTAATTGGTGCTTCATCAAGGAACAGCGTACCCCGAGTAAATGTCCGGTTCACTCAGCTCTGACAGCCAGCTGTAGACTCAGCCTTGCACAGAAAAGTTTGTGACACAAGAAACAAACATAACAAACCACCCCCAAAGGAAGATAAAACAACTTTCAGGAACATTTGCCTTGCTGTTGCAAGCATTAAATAAAAAGACTTGCAAGCCCGAAATAAAACATATTTTTGAAATCTCATTTTCCCCCATCCCTGCAGATTTACACTCCTCTTAATGGCTTGAAATAGTCAAGAATTAAAGTTTCCTGTCTAAGAATTTGATCTGAAATACTATATATGGATCATGCCAAACTTCTAGGTCAGTTTCTTTCACTTAAAGTGAAGTCACTTTCTTTCACTTAAAGTATTAAAAAAAATCCTGATCTACACAATACCTCCAGAAATAATGAAAGACCTTCTCCAAATTGTACAAATAGTGATATTCAATCTGCAAGACCTTCAGCTTCACCTAAGATTTGCTGAATACAAAGAACAACTTTCAAGAGAAACTCAGTAATGCCCTTCCATGACTGCAAGATTGGAACCTAAATGTGCATGTGGAATTTTTCACAATATGTTGTGTTTGTGGCTTTAATTATCATCATAAGCACCACAGTTAATCTGTAGTTCAACATGTGAAAATGTTTATATAGTTTTACATGCTGGCTTGGTAACACATACAAACATTTAGGTTTAAAGGAACACTGGGGGTTGAGTCCTCATCACTTTATGAACCCTTATGTCAGCCATCTGGAGACCTTCCCCAGATCTTTTGCCACCTGTGACTCGGCCACCCAAGCTCTTTCTCCTTCTGACCTCACCTCCTCTAGCCAGCAAGAGAAAGAAATCCTTCTCTGTCCAAACACAAAGGAGAAGCAAAGGTGAGAGAGACGGAGGATTTCTTTGGTGCTGAATCCACCAGAAATCAATGTATAAGGAGTAATTCTGAAATGACCATGCTCTTCATCAGTGGTTAATACTGGAGGTGGATTTTTCCCAGCACACAAAGAGGACCTTGCTGGAAGGGGATCTTCCTCTTTCCACCTGTTTATTCCAGAATATGCATGATGCCTGGCAGAGGGGAAGAAACAGCATGGCAGAGAAGGATGCAGAAGGGTAGGCAAGGTCACCAAGCACAGGCACTTCTTCACCAACCCAAAAGCCACACGTTGCACTGTGCTGCCAAGCACAGGACAACCTGGTCACCATCCCATAGGAATGCCCAAATGTCACATTCTTTACCCCCAGTATGACTGAACATTTTGAAAGCACAGATTATTACTTTACAAAAGGATCACATTGAAGAAATATAAATTCAAATACTCGAGTGATGTTGCTGCAATAGAAAGGATACTGAGGCACACCAGCAGGCACTCAGAAGAGAGTGGGCTCCTGTGGATCCAAGTGCAATGCTCTGAGATTTTGACACCTTTGTGTTTTTGTGTCTGGGACTGTTCTACAGATTAACCTGCAGAACCAGATTTGACTTTCTCTCCTCTTCACTCATCTTTTCAAGGAGGAAAACCCAACTGCTCATCCTGAACCAAAGGGATCCATTTGCTGTCTGATGGAGAGGAGAACACTGACCTCTTCAAAACTGCCCACAGACCAGAAACCAGAAATATTAATAAAGGACAAATCTTTATAAAGTCTGTCAGGCAGTTCTCAGCAAAGCTACTGTGCTCTGAGCTTCTCATGTTGGAGTCTTATGAGGAAAAAACACTGGTACTGACTTTCACCTTTTTTCGCAAATGCTTCTTTCCTGCTGATGACAGACGTGATAGAACTACAAAGGAACTTAAATTATTTGTACTGCCCATTACCACTGGTCTTCTAGATAAACTGAAAATAAACTGTAAAGAAAAACTGTTACAGAAAAGAGCATAAAGAAGTAATTCAGGTAAAGAATACAACAAATGGAGTAGCAGCTTTTTTTTTTTTTTAGCAAGGAGTTGTAAAAAGCTTTGAAACAATCAGCTACTTGTGCATGGTCAATGCAGCTTTAGTAAGGAGTTTAAAGGTAATGAAGTACATTTTTTTACACAACAGGCTTGATAAAATCCTCATTCTTTCTTAAAATTCTTCTGTGCAAACCATGTGAGAAGTATGCTGTGTATGGTGTATCCGGCAGTAAACTATGACTCATCAACAGAACTTAAAGAGCAACCTCAGAATTTAGAAGGCTGTGCTAGCTATGCTGCCTTCTGTCTTATCACAAAGGCATTACCAAACTGCTCAATGCCTCCATGTCCATTTCAGCATCTCTCTAAACTCAGATCACACATAACTCTTTAAAATGAGATTGTTCCCACTCAAAGGAGTTCTCCTAAAACACAATTCATTCAAACCCAGCAAAACCAAACTGCTTCCCTGAGTAACACAAACCCTCCTAATAGCACTGATGTGATGAGAAAGGCAACATTAATCTAAATATTCATGCAAGTTTGTAGAGGGCACAGCTTAAACAGCTGTGAAGAAGTTTATTCTGTATATGCATCAAATCAATACCAGTCTTTGGTGTGTGAAAACAGGAACATCTTCATTCAAACCCAAACTACTTAACCCATCAAATTCATTCTGCTTCCAGATAAATCATATATTTCTAGATCTGTCTCTCATAACATTTTAGAAGTACTCCTTGGTGAGAATGCAATAAATAAAGATTGTGCACTACTGTACATGTGAGTGTTGCTCAAAGCAACTGCATATTAGTTCCAGGAAAAGATTTGATTCTCCTTATGTGTCCCTCCTGATTCTTTCATGGTTGATATGGACATATCAATGGTATTTCTTGGAACAGTTTATTCTCAGATCCTCTTTCATTGCAGCCAACAGGCTATTTATTGAGTAATTCACTTTAACATCAGTAATTATTATAAGGCTAAGGTGATCCTGAACACACCTTTTTCATGTCTTTTTTTTTTTGCTAATAGATAGATAAATGAAATAATAATCCTACAGAAATAATGTTATTTTTATCACAGAAAGCATCCCTTTCATTCATCAGTTTCATTTGGACAAGTAATACATGGAAACTAATGAGGGTGGTACAATGCAAACACTGACAGAAGAAACATGGGGAATTTTCTGGGACATTTAAAACCTCTAGATGCTTACAGTCATCTGCCAGCAGTTATCACCCCACAGCAGAGCTGGCAGAAGTGTGTGCCAGTGAAGACCCCCAAGCACACCCTCACTCATGTTTGCTGGGCATTTTGGAGTGGCAGCTGCAGGAATCCTGGCCCTGAAGCTCAGGCATGTGGTCCTTTCCACTGTACCACAGCAGTCCCAGCAGAAAAGAACCGGCATGGGGGAACAGGGCGGATTTTTAAATCGGCACAGCAGCCTGGGCCAGTACACACTCATCACTGCATCCAGGGGACAGGGGGAGCTGCAGGTAAAGGTAATTACCTTCTAGGCCTCCCAGCAAGATTCAGCAGAACACCTGCATGATAATCCTTGGACACATTTGATACAATTCCCATCAGGGGCAGCAGGATCAGCTCTGGACCACAAATACTTTGTAGTTCTGAGGAAGACTACAATGACTATGTATAGGGCTGAGACAATTATGCACATCCTGATGTGACTGGCAAACACCCAGCCATTCTGGCCTTACCTTTGAAATGATTACAAGTGTGGCACATTTCACATACTAAAGTCAGGCATCAGCTTCCACGACATGCACAGGTCTGGCTGCGCTGTTGGGTCTGGATATGCCATCATCAGGGTTCTCACATTATTTCTTCCTTAGCACTTGCTATGCCAGACAATTGGAGTATAACTACATCTTATAAACAATCTCCTACTAGGAGATTCCTGCTAGATGAAGTTGCCCAGCCACTGGAGGTACTGAAGGAGACACAATGAGAGGATGCAGCTCATCCTGACAAAGTGTCGTCCTGACACCTTGAAAACAAATAGCACATTGTTATAAGTGTGTTGGGGACCAACTGAGTGGATGATGCATGGTGAGTCATTTCTTGTTACCTCTTTAGGAGGGGACAGCAAAGTGTTTTCTTGTTTGCTGAGCCAAGTTAGACTAAACAGGTCAGTTATGGCAGCACCATCTTGTGGTTCCCAGTTAATATGGCCTGACCCAGGGCAGCCATTAGCTGATAATTTATATTTGTACACTAGAAGTTACAGTACCATTTAACTGTCATTCCTTACAGTTTGCTAAATTTCAGGTCTTGTTCAAAAGAAATCAATTTGGAGTGTGCAAACTGTGTAAACTTAGGAGGCATTGTTTTAAGACCGCGTGAAAGTCTGAGAACCTAATTTTTGGTCAGAAATCCAAATGTCTTCTAAGAAGGTTTGATTTATTATCTGCTGTGAAACTGTTACAGAGAATTTTATTCTGAGTAAGGAGACATTAAAGGACATTAGTGCTGTCAGAAGACAAAGGGTGAGAATAAGTGGCAAGTTTCTAAATGGGCTAACAAAGACCTGGATTTCCTCTACTTTTGAGCAGATATGGGGACAAAACACGGCCAGTACCATTCCAGTTTAAAAGTCCTGACTGTGTGAAGGGCTGTTTAATATGCCTTTGTCCTTGCAAGTATTTATAATATTTCTGATGCTCAATTAATACATGTTTTCACCAGCCACTTCCAAATAGATTTAAATTTCAAAGCACAAAAAATATACTTATTATAAAAGTAAACTTCTAACTGCATGCTGCAGAAAAAGCAGAAAAATGTTTCTGCTATCAAAGTTCGTGTAAGAATTCTTCATAGGCAAGCTTACAAGGAGTATACCATCTCTTGAAACAACCTGAAACAGATGTTGAACTACTTGAGGCTTAGTTCCTTGAGGCAATTTTTGTACTGTAAAGTAGCACAACCAGATGTCACTACCTGGAAGGCCTTCAACATCCATTGTGCTTAACATAATGTGAAGATGACCGAACATTATTCAGAGCTGAAGCCTAAATGCAGCAGAAAACATAATTCACCATTGGTTCAGTATGGTATTTTCTACAGAATCAGTAATGTTTGGAAGCTGACCTTTAAGACATGTGTGACTGATACGATTGAAAAGTAAAGTGTGGCTCCACAATGATCCATAATCAGAAACGAAAATATTGGAACAGAAGTCTTCACTGGAAAAAGTGTTAAGCCTAAGTGCTGGAGAATTCTGAGCTCCAAAGTTACTCCTCCTGCACCAATAATGTAGTGTCATCATCCAATAACATTTAAACTCCCTCCTATGAAGAAGATGCAAGATCCTCCTGCACATTCCATGTTCCAAATAGGGCACATACATACATACTGTTTTCACAGTACCTTTTGGGTTTTTCCTCATTTTTCTCATCTGCATTTTCCAATAATTGAGGTGAAAGAGGGTCTTTTCATCCCAATCCCACTTAAAGTCCAATGAAGCTTCACAACAGCATGCTTCTTTCACAGACCAAACTTTAGTATTTAAAGGAACTGCAGAAAAGTGAGATTTCCTGTGAAAAAGATCTTCTTCTGGAATTTCATCTCCAATCTAATTCTTATTTCAAGTAATAGTAAATCATAGAAAAAACTAGTTTCATTGTACAAATCACTGACTTGAAATTATTCCAAAAGCAGCTCTAGATGCTCTACTATCATCTTGATACAAATCAGAAGAAAAAATGAAAAAAAAAAATGGAAGAGACACAAAAGTTTCAATATTCTAAAATCTTATTAAAGGAAATAGAAGGTACACTGATTTCCCTCCTTGCTGATTGAAGTTCAGGGGTTAGCTATATTCATACACTATCTATTCAAATTGATTTTATTTTATAGAAAAAATTGAAAACATTCATTTTTTTTTCTAAGCCAACCACATCAGGACAGTTTGTCAGGTTTTCCAAGAAATATCTGCTATGCAAAACCCAAACACAATTCAAGACTGCAGGATGTCAGAAGAAACCCACTGATAATGAGTTGCCTATTGTAAGGACACCAAGGTTATATGCTGTTTGTCAGAACAGTACCTTGAAGTGCAACCTCATTCCCACACAAAACAGTAGAATACATGGCACTGTACCTCCTGCATATCACAACAAGTCTCTGTATTGGTCACTTCCTCAGAACTTATGTTTTCTAAGCTATAAAAAACAGTTCCAAATGAAACCCATGCCAAAGGCGTAGAACTGAGATGCAGGAGTATACACAGCAGAAATCAGGGTCAATATTAGAGGAGCATATACCACCTTAAATGTAGTAGTGTTTAATAAATGACACTTATAAAATACAGCAACTGAATTCTACCAGTGTTATTAGTAAGCTGTCTTCAGTACTGAAGGAATGAACAAGGACAATATTGTTACTTATAATTCAGAGCTAGCTTGTATGAAAAAGACATGTGGCATCAGGAAAATGTAATTAATTTGGTGGTGTAAGCCTTCATAAATTATCAAGTATTCCCAATAGCAGTCCTGCAAAACTTACAAAGAACATGAGCTGCCTTTAAATTACTTCGTTTGCTTGCTACCAGGATTCTTTTAAGGTGGTTAGATACTGACACAGTATTAAAAAATGCTCAAACTATTGCAATGGCTGACACATTGAGCCTCCTTTAATTAAGACCATAATGTTCCTTTGGGCCATACCTAAGACAGTAATCTGTGTCCAGAGGCTGTCACTCTCTTCTCTAATGGACTACAGCACACAAAAATTAATTATAGGGGAAAGGTTGCCTCTCCAACTGGGACTGGAGATTCGAAGGCAAACGTTTTGCTGTTGATCAAAATGAGTAGCTCCTTTTGCAACAGCTAATACAGTTTCTGTCACATAGCACTTAACCCTCTCTTCCAGCATTAATATGAGCAAATTTGTTGCCCAAGGGGAAATTTTTACATTTTTATGCATTCATTCATTTGTTCATTATGATGCCATCACAAATTCGCCTCTCCAAAAATCAGGAACAAAACTTAAGTTGAAAAATTTAAAAGAAAACATCAGAGATCCCTGCCACAAAAATCTTGTAAGCCTATTTCAATAGAAATAGACTGCAGCTAAACAAAGATTTCAAAATATTTTTAATTCTTAGTTTTTTTAATTTTTAAACATAATTATTCAGAACCTAATAATGATTTTCATGTTTGCTTTCAGCAAATATTCAGTGGTAAATAATTTTATAGAGGAGGTTGCTTACAGACACAGTAGATTTTAAGCAAAATATATAAAATATTAGTTAAAAGAGAATTTCAAATCATGGATAGTACTGCCCATTGCCCAAGGCTGTTAACTTTTTGACTCTCTGAACCAAAGGAAGTAAAGCTGCAGGAAACAGAAAGAAAAACATTCCCTGACAAAGATACCTTCATGGTAAACTCCAGTTACTTGTGTTTATCAAAGAATCCTCTTGTGTTGTGAGCTAACCACAAAGATTTCATAACTCACCATAAAACTCACTGAAATATTCTGCTGGGTTAAAACACATCTGCACAGTGTTGATACAGTGTTTGTTCCTTCCTACAAAAGGAATGAGGGAGAGGGAAACATGAGTTATTGCAAATATTTAAGCTGAAGCAAGGGGTTAGGGATGGAGAAGAAAAAGGAATAGCCTAAGTAGCAAGCTTGAAGAAAAATTGCTGACTAAAAGGAGGAGACAGCAATGATTGTCTTGACACAGGATGGCCCATGCAATTTTTCAATAGACAATCATCAAAATTCAGAACAGAAACTGCCAGAATGTATCTGCAGACCCCCTCCTCCAGCCTCAGGATACAGGCAGCTCCCATGAGCCTCAGGGGAAATCTTTCAAGCACCAGCGTTCCCTATTTCAGTAACACCTGAGATGATTAAATGAACAATGAAACTCAGCTGTAAATTTGCAGCAAGGTTGCAGTCTGCAATCTGAATAGTATTAGGAAGAATGAAATAAAAATGAAATCAATGCTCACAGGATAATGTAAATCAGATGCAAATAAGATTCCATTTTATTTGTCTTTTCTTTGTTTCTTCTAATAGTGGCATATTTAGCTCATGAAGTGCTCAACATTTCTTTTGAAACCGAGTGACTCGGTTTTATTTCATGATATTTCTTGGGATAAGGACATAGAAAGTTCTCATTCCCATGAATAAGATGAACCCATATTTTTGCCTGTGAATAAGTTCAACATGCAAGTCAGAATCAGGTATATGAATATGAAATGACTGAAAATACAATTCTTAATGCCAAAAAAATCACAGAAGCAGGCATTTGTCTACCAGGGCCACCTTCACAAAAGCAATGCCAGTGTGGGCAGCATGGTAGCATGCTGTAGCACCCCTTTTTACAAGCTCTTTGCCTGTTATTTCCAACTCATACAAACATATATGTGTCATATATGTATCAGTGATACACGTACATATCCTCATTCTGTCTGATCAAAGTGCCTGAAAAGGTATCCTAATCACTATCCTTTAAAGAGCAAGCTAAACATGCAGCATGCATCCCCAGGATCTTAAGGGTTTCAGGTTTGGCTCTGCCATCAAACTATCGTACTAATTTGGCCCGATTCCTCAATGTCAATAAACCAGATTTCTAGTCTGCTGTATGGAAATATTCCACAGTTCATTTTTTTTCTGAGCTGAAGTACAGTTCGCCTCTGTAACACAATCCCAGCCCTTATAAAAGCTACCTATTCATCAACCCAAATGTCTGACCTGTAATGCTGAAGATAATGGCTAACAAAAAAATCAAAGACTAAAATACCTACAGAACCTCCTAATGTCTCTGTGGCATCATGTAAGTACTTCAGTCCTAGTAAAACTGTTTTGAAGCTACTACTCATTCTTCAACCTGCTCCAGGCCAGTCTGACACAAATCCCTGCCAGTTGCCAAGAGCAGGCTGCAAAGTGTCAATGAGGGTTTGTGTTTTGGTAGTTCTACTGCTACAGCAGAGACAATCTTTCTCATATTTCCTTAATTTCCAAAATTAACCCTCCTTTGATTGACCTTAAAGCATTAATCAATAGCTGAAGAAACCAGCATGCAGCAAGATTGTTCTACATTTCTCTTCTTGTTTTCAATGTCTGAGTAATAGACAAGACCACACAGCCAGTCCTTCAAGTCCACCATTGCTCCTGGCTTGTGGCATAGGCAGACATGACTATGGAGCAAACATTGCATCTCTGTCTCAAACATTTACTTTTTAACCCCAGTATAAAAACTTTCTTGGTAAGGTGTAATCTGTTCTGGAACAAACACAAAACCAGAACCTTGGTCTACGTGGTGGTTTTTTACATTCAAATAGCCTGAACAGTTTGAGGCCAACAGAAGTGCTTTAAGAATGCCCTGAAAACCTCTCCTGGAGCTTGTCAGATCAATATCAATAACCAGCAGGAAAGATGTTTGAACTGAGAAAATTGGAAGCAAATCTGGTATGATACTATTTTTGTCTTTGAAGCAAAGTGTACAGCCAAGCTGGGAGCCAGGAGAGAGAACAGGAACTTCAAAGAAGTTCAAAGGAACTTCTCTTTCTTTTCACTACCACTCTTTACTCAGCTATGTGCTTCTGCCAGAACAGATTGTTCTGATACCTTGAAATGTACAATGGCATCATATGCAGAACTGGTCTCTGTCAACTGTATACATCAGTAAGTACCAAAATAAATCAAAAATCTCAGAAAAGCAACAAATTTCATCAGTCTGTACTCTTCCTGTCCTCTTAGTAGGCTGTCAGAAAAAATAATCCCAGACCCAAAAAATATTTCCAGGCTTCTCCATCAAATCTTTTGGAATTTGTATCCTCATCTGTTATCCCCAACTGAGAAAATAAGTTAATAAATGGAAAAGACCTCAATCTATTTCATTAAATGCCCCAAGTGTATGAATACACTTTAAAATTGCTTTGTTCCTAAAGCCAAATAGCTGAAAATCCTGCTTTGGTTAATCTTTACCCAAAGAGTTGCTCAAAGTCAGCCTTTTTTGATTAGCCTCCAGTACAGGAGAATAGCAAGGTGAAGTGTGAGGAGAAACACTGTGAAAGAGTGTGTGCAACAGCAGCCCAGGTCTAGCATCAGCAGGGAAGCAGTCCTGCTGCTCAGCCCTAAGGGATACTGCATGGCTGAAGAGCTTTGGTCATGAGCAGAAATGCAACAACTATTCAGCTGTCCTGAATAGCCCCTACTGGACTGCCAGGGACACTGGAGCAGCAAACAGGCAGCTCCTTCTGCTGGTTATTCCCCATGCAGAACTGCTTTTCTTTTTGCCACAGGTACATCCTGCTTCTCCAAAACCTTTACATTACCTGATTCTCTCATTTTCCTAGTTTTGAATTCCTCCTCCAGACTTTTTCACTTTTACTGTGTTATTCAAACATCAAGGATAAAAGGGCCCTTTCAAAACTCAGAAGGTTGCTGTGAGATTTAATATAGGCAGTTTGAGCAGCTCTAGATAGTGAAGTTAGAGTGGAAGAGGGATCTACCACCCATTATCACTAACATCCTATTTCTTTGTCATTATCACTTAATTATCTTGTCTTGTTTATTTAAACAACAAGGCAATTAAGAGGCATTGTCAATGGAACAGAGCCCTGGCACAGGCAAATGGTCTCTGCTGTGAGATAAATGCCAAGATATTTAACAGGCAGCAGCATAACAGGAGAGAGCTTGTTTCCAAAGCGCTGGGCAGTGATTGCTGGAAAATGTGTGCCATTGCTACTGCAGGGTATCTTACAGTCCTCTAATAGTCATTAATTGTCTGCTGCTGGGAAGTCTCTTGGTACTTCCTCTAGATGTGAATATACCTAAAATACTCTGCTGGAGTTTGGCATTACCAAAAGAATGCTGTAAATACCAAATGCCACAAACCAGAAAGAACTCTGAAAAGAACAACTGGAAGTAGCAGTGACTTACAAGAAACAGCTAAATATATTTTCATTAGAAGATTACTTATGGGGCCCATGGGATGGAGTAAAGGCATTGTTCTATCTCACCAGGCCAACAATTCATCTAATCCAGTGGCTGTTCTCTGACAGCACCTAACAGCAAATTGTTCAAGGTGCATAATATCTTTGCAGCAGGTAATGAAGCAACAATATGCCTGTAGCAGAAGATTCTACCCAAGATGTAGAACTACTGCTAGTGGTGTTGTCCATCCTGAAGTAGAAACAATGGTTTGTTATTTCATTGTTTATTCTAGTGTAATGATGTTAACCATTAAGTTTAACCATTAAAGCTTACTGTTTTTTGAATAATTTTCATTTTATCTGGATTTGCATCAAATAAGAGTGGAAATTCGCACCTAGAAGATGTGAAAAGAGAACCAACCACCTTTGGTAAGCACAGAATGCTTATGGCAGAGGAGCTGGTAGAAGTGAAGACAATTTGAATGGGCTGAAAGGAAGGAAAGGAGTAGATCTGAGGTTTGAGGAACTTTGAGAGAGATGTAGTTGGGAGCAGTTAAGATGAGCATCCCATGGGGAGCTGTTGTGGTTTGACATTGTTCCAATGCCAGGCACCCATGAGAGATACTTTCTCACCCTCCCCTACCACAGCTGGGGAGAGGAGAAAAAAAACATTAACCAATGCTTCATGAGTTAAGGAATAGGAGAAACATTTCAAAGGCAAAACAGGCTCAACTTAAGGTTGAAAAGTGAATTTATTACTAATAGAATCAGGAGGATAATAAGAAGTAAAATAAGCCCTTACAACATCTTTTTTTCCCCCCAGCCCCTCCCTCCTTCCCACCAACAGTGCAGGAAGACAAGGTGTGAGGGTTTTGATCAGTTCATCACTGAGATTTTCTTCCACTGTTCTGGGAAAGGAGTCCTTCCCCTGTGAGGCTGTGGGGTCCCTCCCATGGGAGACAGTTCTATGTGAACTTCTCCAGCGTGGGTCCATTCCCACAAGCAGCAGCCATATCTCACCTGCTGCAATGTGAATTCCTCTCATGGGCAGACAGTCCTCCCAAAACTGCTGCAGTGTGGGTCACTCTTCCACAGGATGCAGTCCTCCAAGGACAGGCTGCTCCAGCCTGGAAGCAGGGCTCTCTCTCCACTGGGTTTTCCACTGGATCACAGCCTCCTCTAGGCATCCACCTGCTCCAGCATGGGCTGTGGGTGGATCTCTGCATCCCCCATGGATCTCTGCATCCCCCATGGATCCCCATGGGCTGTGGGTGGATCTCTGCATCCCCCATGGATCTCTGCATCCCCCATGGATCCCCGTGGGCTGCAGGGGCACAGCTGCTTCACCATGGTCTCACCACAGCCTGCAGGGGAGTCTCGGCTCTGGCACCTGGATCACCTCCTCCCCCTCCTCCACTGGCCTTGGCATTGCCAAATTGTTTCTCTCACATGTTCTCACCTCCTCCTCTTTTCTGACTAGAAGAAATACTGTGTGACATTTTTTTATTTTCTTCTTAAATGTGTCATCACAGAGGCATTACCAACCCCTCTCACTGGCCCAGTAGTTTTGGCCAGTAGTATGTCCATCTTCAGAGCCAGCAGGGATTGGCCCTGCCGGACATTGTGGAAGCTTCCAGCAGTTCCTCACAGGAGCCACCTTCATGGTCCCCCTGCTACCAAAAACGAGGCCATGCAAAACCAATACAGGAGCATTTCAGATACTCACACTGAAGCCTACCTTCCACCCTTGCATCAGCCTCACTCTCTGTTTTGTTGATGGAAAGGCGGTAGGTGTTTGCAGGAAAGGGTTTTTGGTAGTCTAGTGGAATAATGCATATTTGTGGCCGTGATTGAAAAGAATGGCCTGAAGATTCCTTTTCCAGTTGTTCTTAATGGTA